GTGGTTCTGGGATGATCTTTTTAAGAACTGGGTCTTCTTCTAGTATGGGTTTCAATTGTTTGAGGATTTTCTGCATAGGTTCCAGAGAGGGATGTTATGTCATAACTAATGGTGTGTGATTTGTGGGAATTTTTTTTTGTACTGCAGCAATTCTTCACATGGTATCCAGGTGGCTCTTTCAAAAGTGTGTTTTGTCTTGCTGGAGACGTGTCCTTGTTAAATGAAAGCCTTTTTGAGATTTGTGAGGTGACAATCACAGGTGTTCTCAATGCACATTCAGTGGTATTCACGGCCTTGGCTGTATAGTAGAGCTTTCCTGATGTGTTTAGGGTGATTGCTGGTTCTGTGCAGATACGTATGTTGGTCCGTGGAGTTCTTGTATATGGTGATTTGTATTTTACCATTCCAGATATTGATCATAGTGTCTAAAAAGGAAATGTTAGTGCTGCAGTATTCAAGAGAGAGTGTGATGGAGGGATGATTATTGAAGTTGTGATGGAAATCAGTCAGAGATTGCTGGGTTTTAGTCCAAATGATGGAGATTTCATCTATATAACTTAAGTATAGCGTGGATTTGATGGTGCAGGTTTTGAGGAATTCTTCTTCCAGGTGGCCCATAAAAAGGTTGGCATATTGTGGGACCATTTTGGTGCCCATAGTTGTGCTCATAGTGTGGAGGAAGTGTTGGTTATTGAAAGTGAAATTGTTGTGTGCTAAGATTAAGTGTGTAAATTTAGTAATATCTTTAGGTCCGTACTGCAGATATGTAAACCTGCATTTCATATCTACAAGAGCAAGATTACAACTCAGAGTACAGACAGTACTTTGTCAGAAGGTACATGCCTACATTTTAATAATAGTGGTGGATCTTGATTGGTCAATGTGTAGTGAGAAGTTGTGTTGCCATGCATTGACATTTGTATACATGCAGAGATGTGTCATGTATAGGAGAGGTGAGCAGCAATATTTTGCACAGGTAGTGGGGTATGCATCCAAAAACATTTGAAAAGCACTGCATTCAGGTATGCAGCAGAAAAATGAACATGCATAAATCTGTCTACAATGGGTAGTGTCATCACAGCGGGCAAAGTTCTGTTATAAGGAAATTGTAAAAGGGATACAGCTGCTGTAAGCATCTGAGTGGCAATTTTCTCTTATCATATATGTTCACCTAGATGTTTTTGTAATTTTTTTAGCAGATTCACTAGTAGGGGAAATAAATATAAAATTAATTGACAATGTAATCAGTTCAAGTCTGTTTATACACCCCCCCCCCCTTCTTAACAGCTTCTCTTGTACTTTTATAGCAGTGGTGTACCAGCGGGGGTGGGGGGAGAGGAAGGGGGCCATGGACCCCAGGCACCAGCATGGGGGGTGCCAGCCAGGCCTTTCAGAGCTGGGCAGAGAGTTTTGTGGCACCTCCCACATTTGTTGTGTACTTTGCCCGGTACCCCCTCCCGCCCCTGCCTGGTGGGTTGTAAGTTTCTTTAGCTGTTCGGGCCAGAAATTATGGTCACCACCCCTCCCCCTGCATCCAGTTTGCTGTGCTGTTAATTTCCCTGTGGACATGCCATGGGATGGGACAGGGGGCCTTGCTCAGATCGTCCTGGTGGGGAGGGGGGCACACAAATGCAAGCTTTGTCTCCCAGGTGCTGGAGACCCATGGTATGCTACTGTTTTATAGCCTTTCCTTATATCAGTCATGTGATAGGCTGGGCACCTGTAGTATGTTCTTATATTCCAGGACCTAATGAGTGTGTGTTTGTTTTTTTTTTTAATCTCCTCTTTAATTATTGTTTCAAACACAGTTTCCAGGTACTACAATTCCCATTATAGCACTGTTATTCTGTTATGATATTCTAGTATCAATCTCTATTCCTTTTTCAGAGCAATACATGATCATTTTTGTCCTCTCATATAGTAAGTGAAGATTTTAATGAAATCCATATTTTGTTGAGAACCTAGCACAGTGGTTCTCAACCTTATAAGATTCAAGGAGCCTCTCATTAGACTCAAGGTGCCTCTTGGAAATAGCCAGCTCTTAGTTTTCATCTATTTTGACTGCAGACAAATAATAGAGGAATTTTTCTGTTCCAAAGAACTCCAAAAGTTCACAACAGGTCAAAATGTTTTTAACACTATGGGTTTCTATTTGACAATTGCAGGTTTATCTTCCAAGTTGTATTTGCATATCTAACATGTGACATTGTGTGGCACCCCACAACACCCTTGAAAAGATTTCAGAGGTCCAAGGCAACCTGGCTGACCATCACAAACTTAGCTACTTCATTTTTATGTCCTTTCATCATTTGTGAATATACACCAACTCATTCTGGTGACTTTTATCTACTCTATCAGTGTTATTTATACTATTTGGATAATCACTCAGTGACAGTGACTCATCTGTATTACTTTAAAGTAGTAGTTACTTCCATGACGTGCTTGGATCAAGACTAATGCAAAGAGATCATAGCTTCTCTGAAACGTTACCTTATCCTCCTTAATGGCCTTCTTTTCCTGGTGGCAGTCTGACAGACTTACTGATTCTCTTTTAGGCTTCTTGCTTCTGATGTTATAGAAGCTCAGTTTCCCATTCCATAGTTAAGGTTCAGTTGATTGCTGCACTTAAAGCAACCACTTTATTATGTAGAAATTATACAACATATTCTTCCCAAAATTGCGCCATTTCTCTGTTGCACAAAAAATAGATTTTTTTTTTGGAGAATTTGCTAGTAATCTAGTAAATTACATAATGAGTGCAAATTAATTATAAAAATTTAAGCATTTAGTGACTGATCACATTTTTCCAAAATGATCTTGATTGTGAAAATATAACACAAATGTTCAATATATTTAAAATTCACTGTCATTTGAGGTTTTGACCAAATTTGAAAAAAAAAAAAAATTTAGGATTAAATGTCTTTATTTTCTTTCACTTTTTATAACTGTTCTTCTGCAGAGAAGTTCATGAAGAAATATCCTTTTTCAAAATGACTACTACCTCCATTACTTACTGTGAAAATAAATCCAAGCTGTCCTAGGGGAAAATGATAAACACTGGACGAACAGCATGAGGAAAAAATTGAATGTGCCTTTAAAATAATTGGTTTAATCAAAGATGTGACTGCACATAATATTATCCACTAATCACAATAACACTATATTTATTCCATGGTGTCACTATAAGGTACAAATTAATAATTAGGATGCTTTAACTATGTTTCCCCATATTTTAACCTGTTTTGATTCATTGACTTTTTAATGCTAAGTATCATTTTATTTACAGTTAAACTTAATGCTTATTTTTAAGAATATTTACACTCTCTATATAATGGTTTTACCTTCAAATTTCCAATATGTACTGAAGCTTAGTTCCAGTTTAATGTAGTCTTTAAGTGATAGTTGTAGAATTTCTTTCTATTTATATATTCTATTTTGGGTATTTGTTTATGATCTCTATGTACCTTCCTCATTTTAATCTTCCTGTTTTATCGTAGCAGAGGTTTTTCTTTTCTATTCTGTCTTAAGCTGAATTTCCATTTTCTGAAGATGCCTATGTGACATGAAAAACATCTTGACCCTCCCAATTTAAGCAAATTGTTTTTTCTTGTCCTCCTGCTTCCTGTTAATGTATGGCATAGACTTTTTCTTCCCAGTGTTGTTTATTGCATGTTTCAGTTATTTTAAGACAATATAATATGGCACAGGCATATCACAAAATAAGTTAGCAAACTCTGCAAAAGGAATAATACATAATATATTAGTGTTTCTCCAGAAAGTACAAATTTGCATTAATATTGCTCTAGGCAAATCTCACACAAGTACATTGCTTGACAAATCTTAACAATATAATGTGTTTTATTTTTGTTGTGTTTAAGACAGTTGACTTAAGTGTTTTTTTTAAGTGCTTGTCCTAAAATTTGAAATAAGCATTATTTTTACTTAAGCTTTGAGCTGAATAAAAAAGCAGCATTATTCTTGGGTCTGAAAGTGTGGTCACAATATTGGTGATGTAAAAAATCTGTTCTTTTTATCCCAAGTAGACTGATCAAACACTTTAAAATGCCATTAAAAGATTCTACCAGGGACATATTTTAAAGCATCTGACAAAAGCTCATGTATTCTTTAAATTTAATTATGTTTTTTACAGAATAACGTTCATCCTAGTGCAAACAGTTCATTCTACATTTCCACTATACTCAGTTACTCCCATACTATGAGATTTCATTGGCTAAGAGGGCATGTCTACACATTCATTAATGCACTTTAGGTAATGTGCATTACATCTAGTACCTCCATTTTGATGTACTAGAAAAATGTGAATTAGCTTATTTTAATGCACACTGGCTAAAGAGCACAACTTTTCTGTGATGGTTTAGTGTTCATTAAAATAGGCTAATGCGCATTATTAATACGCATTATTAAAGTTCATGCATAGACACACCAACAGTTTAATACGTTATGATTCCTGCACTATACTACAGTTCACGCATAACACATACAGTATACTTTTCTTATTATTCAAATTAAGTTTGTTAGTGGAAATTTTTCCAAGGAAAACAATTTATTACTGGCAATGTAAGTCAGTCTTCTGAATTTTGAGAACCAGCTGGCCTCTCCACTGTCTACTCTATGATATAGACATGGCCCAAGTAAAAGGTTTAGGTAAAGGAAGAGGAATATGTACTATGGGGATTATAACCACTTACTTATCTGCTCAAATGCTTGCCTGCTTGCTTACCAGGTGGTGAAAAATGAACTTGTTAATGTTTGAAAGAAATTTCAATCTTAAAGATACTATATACATATCAATTTTTTCTTATTAATGCTGTCTTATTTTATGCCAACTGTAGCTTGTCCATGTTTGATAGCAGTACAGGGCCTTATGAAATAAATGTTGGAGATATTTTCATGTTTTATAAATAAGTTCTGCATAAAATACTATAAGTTTTGGGAGGAAAAACATTAACAGGATTTGGTTTCAATCATTATATCTGCAGGTTGGCAAGAAGTGTTTGGGGACCCGTAATAATTCAACATCTCACCTGAAGATGGCAGAAACAGATCCTAGCTTTCAGGTATTTCTTCATTTGAATAATCATAATACCTTTTATAGTGGTGTTTCTCAATAAAGTGTAAAAATACATGAATAATATTTACAGTCTGAGCCAGTGATTTCTCAGGAAAAATCTTTTTTGAAGTCAACAAAGACTTTTGCTTCATGGGATTTCAGTTGGAAGTATTTTAGCAAATAAACAATAGAGCACTTTGTCCAGTAGAAACTGGGTTTAATGGGTAAGGAGAAAATAATTTTCAACTCCCTTGGTATAATTGCAATTCAGTTTATTGTGCCAGCTAACCAGGTTATACCAAGAAAAGTCGTCAGCAGATTGTAGCATCAGATCCCTTCATCTCTTTGTCTAGTAAAAGAAAACTGTCTTTTATAAAGAACCCCAGAATCAAACATTTTTACATTAGGATATCCAGTGACACAGACATTTTCTAGTAGAAACCAGACTTCAGAACCATTCAGTTAGAGGAGAGTTCAAAGTTATTCTAGTGTTTGTAGGCTTTCTACAGTAAAATGCACACAGTTAATTTACATAAGTGATTCTAAAAAACATGGTATTTTCAGGAAGATGCTGCAGGCATAACTTAATTATATAATGAAATATAGGTATTATACATGCATATAATAATTCACATAAGTTCTGTATGAGGGGATGCGCGTGTGCGCACACACACGCACGCACACACACACGCACACTGTACCAACACATATATACATATATGATATCTTTACCAACACGGTGCACACACTATATGACAATTATTACAAAAATGAGTGCATAGATTAAAAAATCAGTAGCTGTTAAGCATGAGAGTTAGAGGTACAGTCTCTGAATCACAATGTCCTAGACTTTAAATGCTGGAGGCTGTAAGTGAGAGATGAACAGTAGAAAAAAACCCTGGTCATACTTACTCACTTTCAGCATCTGCTCTCTGCCGTTGTGTGACACAGGATACTTGGAAAGATGAATTTATGGTCTAACCCAGTAAATGGCAGTTCTTATGTTCCTGTTGCATTTTAAATGTCTTTGATGAATCCTTGTGTTTCAATATAATAATATAAAATATGACATTGACACTGATACTATATTTTTCCTTTGCATTGGTTGACAGAAGTTGCGCAACCCTCCTTGGACTAATCCTGAAGCTAAAAAATCAGCTGAGAGAAATGAGAAGTCTGAAGACTTGGTTAATACAAAAGAAAAAGCACTGTAAAAATGTCTAAGCTATGTTTAAAATAATCTTCATTTGCTATTGTCTTCATATTCTTTTTAGTCCGAAGGCATGAAAATGTACCAGGTTTCTAAAGCATGCAACTTTTTTCACTATTTTATGAATGTTTGTAAATTAGTCTAGGAGGTTTCAGAAATAGATCAATTAGTATCTTTCAGCAATAATCCAAAATGGATGTTCAAAGAAATGCTTTGTAATACAGTCCAGTTTTTTGAAACTTTATTCTGCTTTGATCAGTAACTTGCTTATTATAAATTAGTTTGTTTTGTAAAGAAACTGCTGTTTGGAAGTTCATTTTCTGAGTTTGATTCATAGCTGTCTTTCCTGTTTGTTGGTGGTTTGAAGTCAAGCTAAGGCTATAAACTGGTTAACAACAACAAAATTCTGGTTAAAGTGAAGTGCGACTTACCAGTGACTGTGAAAATAGCACGCTAGGGTTCCACACATATTATCTTTCTAAATCTTTCATTTAGGGTATGTACAAATGTTATATTCTAGCAGTTGGAATTACACTTCCACCAGTTGAAATGCTCTGCATACAAGCAGTCAAAGCACTTCAGGCACTCTAAAAATGGCCAATGTGGTGAAAATCTCCACCACATTGGATGAGGTTAAAGTGCTAACTGATTGGGGTTCAAGATTGAATGAATGATTTGCATGCGTCCCCAAACAATTGGAACTGCTGCTCCAGAATCCCAGCCTGCCTTGTTTTTTTCTCCCCCTGCCCTCTCTTACCCCATGGGCAGACAGTTAGTATCTCTACTGCTGCAGCCTGAATCACAGCAAGACCCTCCCTCTGACAATGGAAGGGTCGGGAAAGCCACTTTCCATAGCTCAGGGGCTGTAGTGTGCAGCTGTCAGCTCTGCCACCTTCTTATGGCATTCCTTGAGGCCCCTGATCTCCCTGAGATCCCAGCCCCACACAGACACTGCCCCAGCATGAAGTGCCACAGGAAGGTAGGTTTCTCCTCTCACAGCACTTCAGTGTCCTGCACCTATGGCCCAAAGTGTGGGGCTACACATACTAGTTTGAAGTGCCATGAGGGCAGGGACATTCCTTCAACCAAGGTACTTGAGAGCCTCATGCTATAGCCCCATGGGGGGCTGTAAGTACAGGCTTTGAAGTGCTTTGGGGATGAGATTTGCCCTTGCAGCCCTGTGCATGGGGTGTGGGCACTAGCTTGAAGTGCTGCATGGAGGGTACCAGCCCCATGCAGCACTTGAAAGCCAGCATCTGCAGCCCCATGCATAAAGGTTGCAGGTGTTGGGCTCTTAAGTGCCTCATGGGGGGAAAAAGTTCCCCCCATGAAGCACTAGAGAGCCATATACATGCAGTACCGTGCATGAGCTCTGGTCACTGGCTTGCAGTGCTGCATAACTTTAAAGCTCTCTTCTGCAGAGCTTGAGACACGTAAGCCTTGAACATGGTGACAGGTCTTCCTAAAAGCAGAGCCCCAGCAGAACCATGTGCAAAGCCCCCAACTGAAGCCAGTACTGGTTATGGTGGCAGGGGCACAGCTCCACCTGCCCCTTCCATGTAGCCAGAGCCCAGCTTTAAAATGACAGAAGATCTTCTCTTGATCTGTCTGATGCCTGACAATGGTTAAGGAAAGTTGGTTGGTGGAGGGGTGCTCCATGGGGCACTGTCCAGTTGGTGCTGTCACCAATATTGAAGCAGGCAGAGGGGCCTGCAGAACACATGGAATTCATACTCTGGCTCCCCCTGGCTGGGTGCTTTTGGTGTTGCAGGTTGTCTGCAGAACATCTAGGCTAGGGACAGAAGTTAAACATAAACCAGTTTAAATCATCAGAAACTGGTTTAAACCTGTAACAGAACAGAAGTCTAGTGCACGTGGATGAATAGCTGAAACTGGTTTAAGATAAACCTGGTTGAATTTAGTATCAGACTTAACTAATTTGGGTCAAACCGGTTTATAATTTTCTGTCCCAGACCTCTTCCTGGTTCAAGTTAAATCACAGTTCCCCAGCATCCCAGCATGCTTTCCAGCCCTGCACTGGGCTGGGCTGTCGTCTCCAGCAGAGAAGGGTTCAGGGGGAGGAGGCAGGGACTGCCTACCCCCAGACAAACCCCAACTGGGATCTGGGGCCAGGCAGGGGAGTTAAACTTCCCCTGAGTACGGAGCTGCCCTGCCCTGCCCTGCCCTGCCCTGCCCTGCTAAGAACTTACTACTGGCTGTGACTGTGGACTACAAATCCCAGAGGCACCTGGAAGCAGGAAGAGGAAGTGATAAACAACCTTGCAGAGTCCTGCTGGTATAATTCTGGGCCACAAATCCCAGATACCTCAAGGGCAGCAGAAAGAGGAAGTGAACACATAGCCCATGCTGGCTACTAGCACCTCCTGGCTTCTGGCCTGAGACACTACAGGTATGTGGCTGCATTTCCTGAATCAAAAGTGAATGTCCAGTTGTTTCTCAGTTTAATCTGTGCAGCTTAAACTAACCTGCAAAGACTGAATTGATTCAGCTTTGGGCTTTTTGATTGTCTGTGCTTAGCCCTAGACAGTTTTCTGCAGGCTTGTATAGGTTTCACCCAGTTGAATTTTAAATGTCTTCAATTAAGTGGATGAATTTTAATTGGTTGAATTGAATGCTTGTATGCACTATTAATATCTCTTGGCTAGCATTACAAGGATACTTATTCTAACTGCTAACACCGCAAGCTTACTACAGCCACTGTATTACAAAATGTGCATTTTGTAGTTTATGCAACAACAATAACAACAATACTCATAGAACATAGTTGAGACAGTTAAAAATTGTCTTGATGGTTGCATAAATGCATTCAAATTGGTTTGATAGATTCATAGGATCCATACTGATTGTTACTTGAAGAAAAACAGTTGTTATAAAGCATGTAAGCATTATTTTTATTTGAAAGAGAAACTTAATAGTTCACTCTAAACAATGAAAGGAGAGGGAATTAGTATATGGAAAATAAGATTAGCACTTGGAAAAGGAAAAAAAAAACATTGCTATGGATTGCTCTTTGTTTCAAAATATTCTTGTTGTTCATGTATCTTGCCATTAACAGAAGGCCAGACACAATCACATGACTAATCACCAGTCTTTCATTCCAATAAAAAATGGAATGAATGGAGCCCCTATGCTAAATGGACCAGGCCTGCCCCCCACCCCAAGATAGGAATCTGGGGGAGGGGGGAGGCTGTCATATCAGGGGGACTCCATTCACCACCACCCCCCACCCTGCCCAAGCAACCTGTCAGTTCTAGGCAGAAGCATGCAGCATGGGACTGCTGTGTTTTTTTGCCATACCAGGAAATGTGCTGGGGGGGGGAAAGGGGGAGGGAGCTGCATGGACACAGTCTAGCCCTCCCTCGAACTCGTGAACTAGCAAGATGTAGGAGGCCCCTTTTCTCCATCTCCCCACCAGCTGCTGCTGACAGTTGCCAGCTGTCTGGGGACAGGGCTGGTGAGAGGGCCTGCTCTAGCAGTAGCTGCCAGAAGAAAGACCCCTGCCTCCTTCCTTCATACCACCTCCCTAGATGGGCCATGGTATACTGTGGGATCATGAGGGCTACAGAAACAGAAACCCCCTTTCCCATATGCCAGGCTGCACTTGGGGCTGGGATCAGAGGCTGTCACTGACTTGGATCACTGACAGCTGAGGCCAGCCTGGAACTTGGGCAGAGCAAAAAAATTCTGCCCCTGGCTATATCACAGCTTTGTACAACCTCACCTGGGATGGCCATGACTGTGATCTTAAGTAAACCGTTGATGGGATGTGGCATAGACATTCAATAAAGTGTTACAACAGAAAGCATTTTAGGCTAGTACACATCCATCCAGGCTTAACTTAGAGCAGGATACACCATTTTTAAAGTGCCCTAAGAGCCATGAACCTTTGCTCTGTTATGACTATAAAGCTCATTAAGTGTAAGTTCTATACCTAGCCTAAGTTAATATCCAGGAAGTGTTATCTCATGCAAAGTTGAAAGCATATTATACGTATTATGGATGAGAACAACTGGGTGCAGACAGAAGTGAAAACGTTTGCCCAATCTGGCCTCAGAAAGCAGTTTATAGCTGTTACAAGTGCATGGCTGCAAGCAGTTTAAAAAATTACTGATTGGGTAAAAGATCTGACTTCATTGCATAAGGTATCAGATAAAGATGTTTAAAAATATTGCATCTTTTGTCATTTGTGGCTGAGGAGCTCCCAGCCTGTTGCTGTTTTCAGAATGGGAGGGTGGAAAGGGAGTATGGGAGTTTAGTTTGGGGGGTTTTCAGTCCCTCTGGATGGTGAGGCAGGTGTATTGGAGCCCTCCCCAACCCCCAAGGTGGGGAGGTTCCAATTCACCTACCCCACCCTTCAGCAATGGCTGGAGGGCCCGAAGAACAAGCTCCCTCTGCTGCCTTTTTCTGCTCCCATTCTGACGGTTTACACCCAAGTGTACTCAAGGATCTGGCAAGCATCATAGCTCAGCCCCTGGCACAGATCTTTGAGAACTCCTGGTGCTCTGGTGAAGTGTCTGAAGAGTGGAAGAAAGCCAGTGTCATGCCTATCTTCAAGAAATGGAGAAAAGTAGATCTGGCAAACTACAGGCCCATCAGCCTGACCTCTATCCTGGTTAAGGTCTTGGAAAAGATTATCAAAGAGGCCATCCTTAACAGACTAGCTGACAGCAATATCCTGAGGGATACCCAGCATGGGTTTGTTGTGGGTAGGTCTTGCTTGACCAATCTCATTTCCTTTTATGACCAGGTGACCTATCACCTGGACAGGGGGGAAGAGATTGACGTCATATATCTTGACTTTAAAAAAAGCCTTCAATCTGGTATCCCACGATCACCTCTTGGCAAAACTGGCTAACTGTGGCCTTGACCTCACCACGATCCACTGGGTGGAGAATTGGCTCTGCGGTAGGACCCAGAAGGTGGTGGTTGGTGGTAGCCAATCATCGTGGTGCACGGTGACTAGTGGGGTCCCTCAAGGCTGTGTACTTTTTAACATCTTCATCAATGATGTAGACATTGGTGTCAGAAGCGGACTGGCCAAGTTCGCCGACAACACCAAACTCTGGGGTAAAGTATCCACACCTGAGGACAGGAGGATGATCCAGGCAGATCTTGACAGGCTCATGAAGTGGGCAGATAAGAACCTGATGGCGTTTAACACTGAAAAATGTAAGGTTCACCACCTTAGGAGGAAAAACCTGTAGCGTGCTTATAGGCTTG